GACGTATATGACTTAAACTTATATTAAAACTCAAATTGTTGTTGGACCGGTGCTATGCTATTCTAGTTTCTTTATTAGATGTGACACTTGAGGGAGGACGAACACAACATTGACCACAAAGTAATGTAAATTGTACTATAAATTTGGACCTCTATTTTTTCTTGCTTAGCAACGTGTAGCCTTTTTTTGGCATACACAAGTAATGTAAGAAAATGGTTTCATTTTATCTCGCTTCTATTAATCCATTTTTTTCAAGACTACTCTTCCCTCTTCTTCTTCTTCTTCAATTTCTCCAAATTTTCTCCCTCTCTGTATCCATTTTTTTTCTTCTTTTAATATTCTTTTTTTGGTTTGTTCTCTTTTACTTTTAGTGCAATATAAGTGTAAATTTATTTCACTTTGCAGATGAATTAAGTAATGAAAAGTTTTGCAATGAAGTTGTTTGATTTTCTAAAGGAAGAGGTTTTCATATAGGTTTAACATGTTTGGTCAGATCTGAGCTCGTCGGTTGTTGGGTTGACTGAGACGGAGAGTGATAAAGAAGACCATACATCACTCTCCTTACGTAGAAAAAGAATATATGTTCTATTAATACTGAATCCATACCTCCTTCATAACAACAACAGTCTTCCTCCATGCTCAACAAAGTCCTACAGTTCAATCCATGATGCAAGCATTTTACTTTTACTTTTATAATTATAATCCCTCAACATATATATATGTCGCGACTGAAATTTAGATCCCAAACAAGACCGGCGTCGTTTACCTCTCAGAGGTCGCAGACAAGCCTACATACGTCATTCTTACTTCATCTAGGTTAATTTTAGCGGAAAATTTGAAACTTTTTGTTTCCTAACATGCTTACTAAACATTATACTATATATATAATTGTTCACCATCAACCATCTAAAATCAAGCTGATCAAATGAAAGAAACAGTTTATTATAACGATAAAGATGTACTTGCCAAAATGGAACCAATACAATGTATGAACAAAAACGGGAAAGAAACGCTAGTGGAACATACTTCACTAGCTCATTCTTACAAATAAGCTATAATGTAAATGGGCAAGAATCCTCGAAATCATGAGGTCCTACCAAGTCCGGATGAATACTCGACATCCGGATAACTGCAGCGTTGATCCTGTAGCTCTAGCGTCCACCTGTGCTTGCACCTAAAAATTTAGAGTTGTATAGGGTTAGTATACACTTGTACTAAGTATGGGCATATGCAATCACACAACAAATAGATGCATGAGTAAGAATAGCTCTTTCCTAACAACATGATTGTAGAAGATCAAGTCAGTGGACTTGCCAAATTGAGATTAAGAAAGTGAGTGAGTTTTCCAAATTTGGATTAGAAAAGTCAGTGGACCTGCCAATTTGGATTTGAATAGCCATGCCATGAGTATAACATGCATCATCAAACTTATAATTTTGCAAACAACACATAACATACTTCACATATTATATCACGTAGTTCATATCTTTCATATGCCATGAGACCTTGGGATCATGGACTTGACGTTAGGACTTCCCTAAATGAGGGCTCAACATGTGGGACCTCAACTAGGGAGCCTTCTTTAGCAAACACAGAGTCTGCTTCATTCATTCATACGTACTTCATTTCATTTCATTCATGAGCCAGTGTAACACCAACTATACCTAGGATGTAGTTTAAGACTTTCATCAGGTTCGTTATGCAATGACCAAGAATGACCTAATGTCATTACCTGAATCTAACTCACCTCTTAATTATCCTATCCTAACATCCTTGTTATCATTCGTTTCATTATGTGCATCATTTGAGGCTGACCTCATTCATTCATTGGAAACTTTAACTTTAACCGACATAGATCATGTGAGCATCATGAAATCCAGTGTCATGAAACCCCACACCTAAAAGAGGTGGAATCACCGGCCAAAGTGACCCAAAACATGCTAGCATACATGGGAATTGAACCTCCGCCCTTTCCGAAAGAAGACATCACCGCTCATAGCTAGTCTATCGGTGCTCAGTATAAAGTTCCATTAAATTCAACTCATACATCATGCAAGCTGGCTTCTAGTATGAGGACATCATAGCTCAATAGAAGATTTCTCATCTCATCATTAGTATTAAGTGTGTTAATCTCAATACTTTAAATAAAGTGTTCATAGAGACTTGTCTCTTCATTAACTTTACTCTCTCATAGGTGAGTACGTTTTGGTAACATTTACTTAGGCTCGTTTGAGATTGCTCTTATATTTTACATTAGCCTCATATCATGTTGTTACCACATTCATTATCATTAGCACATTTGCTCTTCAAATTTACTCACCATTTTTTACGTGAATGTTCATTTCATCATATGCCAATGCACTTGGCCATTTGGTGTGTTTCACAGTCTTACTTAAACCTTCTAAGGTTTCATCACTTCATTGTTCATTTCATCATATGCCAATGCACTTGGTCATTTAGTGTATTTTACGCTCGTACTTAACCCTTCTAGGGTTTCATCATTTTATTACATACATCTTAGGTTTACTTATTTTTAAACGTATGCTAGACTTATGGGTCTATCTATACCTACAAGCCATGGGGCTTCATTCATAGTTTGTCTAAGTGATTCATATTTACCCAAGATTATATGGTACAAGACTTATGCATCTTGTAGATATGCCAAGATATTGATTTCGATCTTTAGAGGCAACATTCATTAAATATTTACTTACATATGACTTATGTGTCAATATGGAATTGGGCAATGGAACTCGATTTCAAATTCTTTGGACAACACTTAATCTTATTTTGGATTTGATAATCGCATTTTTCAGATTTGGGGGACCCTAGTTCGATCCCCATCAACCCCATAATATTTTCTTTCTTTTTCTCCTCTGCTTTTTCGTTTAAGTCAAGAAGGTTGTGGGTTCAATTCCCCACAAGCTCATTATTTTTTTTTATTTTATCTCTTAACTTTCTCACCTATCTAAGAGGTTGTGGGTTCAATCCACACTCTCCACATTTATTTTCTCCTTTATTTTTCTCCTAACTCTCGCATTCATTCAAGAGGTTGTGGGTTCAATCCCACTCACCACATCTATTTTTCTTTGCATTTTTCTCACGAAATTTGGATGAAATTTTCATTTAGTGAGGTCATGGTTTCAATCCCCAATGAACTCACATTTAAAAAAAAATTAAACGAAGCTCATTTTTTTTAAAAGTTGATCGAGACTACAATTTCCAGCAGGCTGGAAATTTAGTCTCTTCCAATCCATTTTTGTCTTAATCTTTTGTTGTTGTTTTTTTTTGTAGATTTCATGTAATTATGTCTTGGGTTCAATCCTTAGTGATCTCACTTATTTTACATTCATTTTTCATTGCATTTTGTACCATTTTGTTTGGCCGAATCCAACCTACCAAATGGTGGAAATTTATTCATTATTTTCAGCTTCTTTTTATCATCATTCATGCTTTAATTCTTAAGGAATTTCGTGGATCATTTAGTGCATCTTTAAGTGTAATCTTTTTATGATTATATTCAGCCAAGAATTACCATTTCATCCAGAAACATTACAACACTTTTACACCTCATGATTTACACAAACATTCGCACATAAAATTCAACCATAAAAATATTTTCACATACTTTCGGTTGACATAACTTAACATGCTTACAATTCCAAACGCATTATAACGAAAATCAAACTTCATACTTAAACTACCAGCAAACATACCAACAACATGATCTCTATCCTATTTCACGTTGAGATCAAAGGGATACTAGGGACAACGAGTTCGACAAGAATGGGAAAAACCCTAGTTTTCGAGTAGATTCATCTGAGACTTAAGGGTCTCTTGGGAAAGGTACCAAGAGTAAGAAAATTCATACCTTTTATGACGTTCAAACCTCGAATTGTTGCCAAAAATCTTCTCCAAAAATTACGTCCAAATCCCCTCAAAGTAAACATCAACTCGACGGACAAACTTCTCTTGGCCTACATGATTGATTTTGTTTGTTTTCTTATACTTTCGTTGTGAGTTCTTCAAGTATGAAGAACTTTGGTTTACCTACTGTTTTTCGAAGTTATTTGGAAGAGAGAATCATGAGTGAGAGTGATAGAGACGTGTGAGAGAGAGAGATGAGCATGGGAGAGAAGAGTTTTCTTAGGATTAAGAGTCTAGTTTAGGATTTAGTCAAATTAGGTTTTATTTATTTATTAAAAATGTGATTTACTTTTATTTAAAATAAGCTAATAAATAATAAATATAAATTAACTACATTAATTTACCAACTTAAATTAAAAATAATTTAATTCATTGCTTCCCACTAGGTTCGAACCCGGGTGGAGCAAGACTTCTCTTCAAGAGCCCAGTTTCGGCCCTCTCTCCCCAAAATGCCCCTCCACCTTATTAGTTAAATAATTAATTATATATTTAGGGTAAATACGATACTACTTTTAGTATGGAAAAAGACCATTTTACCCCTAGACCCTCCAAACCTAAGATTTTCCCTTTTTAAGTCCGGTAAAGACTTCTTCAAGTAAATCTTCGTATTCGAGAGCCCTACATGATTGGACACAACCTTTTCTAGCTCAACTAACTCCCAAGGTCAATTCTCTTGGTTGTAGCAAGGGTCTGGCTCTACGCGCATCAATCCGTGTGAACCCGGTCTAATCGTAGGCATTCTAGACACATTAAGCATTACTTAGCATATTCATTTTATTCGGGTTGTTACAATATATATATATATATATATATATATATATATATTTACACTGCAAATTGGCAAATTTTTATACTTCACCTTATCCCTGCTCAACTCTACTGCTGATAATTTACCATAGAAACAAAAAATGATTAATTAACAAACTAGAATATATTCTAAAGTTTTTTCTTACTACTTGTATTTTGTATGTAATTCATGTGGATACCAAGTAGAATCTTATCCCTCTAATTAATCATATTCACATTATTGATAGATTTTAATTGTTTTTTTTTTCAGTTTTACGATTTGGTTGTAGCTTAACTTGATTGCAAGTTATTGTTTCTCCTCTTTAATTTCATCTATTGTTTCTATTCATAACATTGTATTTCAATTCTTTTTCTACTCTTTGTTATCAAAATGTAGCATTTCTTCCGCACTACTGTTCTTCCACAGTTGTCCCATTTTTTACAAATTATATTCCCTTTTCTTCTCTACTTTCAGATAAATTTATATCTCAATTTGTTGTCTTCCAAACAATCTCTTTCATACTTTTGATTGGCGTTACAAACTCAGGTATGTTTCTACCCAATTCTTCTTCTTTTTTTTCTCAGTTCGTCTTCCACTTCTTTTGTTCCCTTTAAAGTGTTGTGAATTTTATGGTTCCCTTTATTGTTGTGCTCATGAACTAATTTTTATGTAGTTGGAAAGGCATGACAACAACTCATAGCTGCTTTTCCATCTCTTGTGAGTGTGGTACGCACCTCAAATATTCTCTAAAGAAGATAGTTGTACATTGTTAGTCAGAGTAGTAATCTTGAAAACTTTTACATTACCATAAAAACACTTATACGTATTCCTAAATAGTAACTCTATTTCACAAGAGATTGTCCGCAACTCAAAGATAGAAATAACAATGATACAAAATAGCCTGCGAGATCTGCAATAGCCTATTCATCATCCGTACCTTAGAGGGATCGGTTCAAGTGTTGATCCAAACCGTATATACAGGCTAGCCAGTTGACATCGCAGATGTGGTCGTAAGTACCTTATATGTTTTCTCGCATGATCTATTATACAATTTGATAGAACCATGAACTATTCTCTCATATATTACTTCACTTGTAACTAAGAACTTTGAAATACAATTAGAATTGTTATCTGACCCATTTGTAGTATTTACTCCAGTAGGAGAGTCTCTCGAACTGTGTAGCGACAGTATATCATGATATACCTAACCTAACTTGATTGAACTGGAACGTGCAAGTATTCACTACCTATTGATCTGAAAACACATGTTACTGAGTTGAACAGTTAGAATGTTATGTGTTAGGCTTTCTCGCACCAAAACTAATGAAACTACTAAAAGTAATTGTGCTTTTTTGTTGTTGTCAGTTGTTCCTTGGCTACTTGCCGACGGGTGAAGGATTATTATAGGTGAGGGGCTGCATATTTGGAAATTCAGAAGTCAAATGCGCACTCATCGATTTTCAACTAATTGGTACTATTGCGTCTTATACTTTCTTCAGCCATATCAGCTGCATATTGCTTGTTTATTATTTTATTGTTCTTACATTTTGGGACTTATACAACACCAATCATTAGACGTCTTTCCACTAGTACTACTACGAAAGATGTTCACGATTTCTTTGGTTTTGGTGGGGCGACTCAACACTCTGACATTCGCAGGTGCTTCAATATCTGAGACTATATTACAATATAATTAATCATATCCTTTATTTCTACATTGATGACTTAGAGCGAGAACAATAAAGAACGGATGGAAGGGAAATATTGATATACAATTTTTATTATTATTATCCTGCTTCCATTTTTTCATACTTGTGTTATTAATGATATGAATTATTTCATTTGATAATGTCATATATATCGAAAAAGAAAAATGAACACAAATGTTGTTGTTTCTCTTTTTTTCTCCCGAAAATGCTAATTTTGATTCTTAGTGATCTACAACTATGCACTTCTGTGTCACTTACCTTATATTTTCCATAATGTTGAAATGCAAAAATAGTTTTATCAATCCACCCTTCAAGTTTATTTGTAATATTCTTAAATTGAAGTACGAACATAAACAAGTTCTATTGTGACTAATTTAATATGAATTATTTTATTGTTGGAAAAACTGAAGGTCCAATTCACATAGTTTGTTCTGAGAAGAAATGACTGATAATGTCATATATAGAGAAAGGAAAATAAACACAAATATTTGTTGATGCTCTTTTATGTGATGTATATCTCTTATCAAGTTCACTCTTCCCTGTTGCTAAAAATATAGCATCGAAGTTGGATGAAATGAGGAGGAAAAAATTACAAAGAAACAACGAGAACAAGGTGATACATCAAATGAAGTAGGAAGACGTCACATTGGACATGAAAATAGTAGATCAAGAAATAAATAGAATAAAGATAACAAATTATAGTTTAGTCATGAAGTGGTTTTGAAGATATTACGTGGGAGGAGAAGCACTTCAGAGAACGTTGATCGTGAGTACAAAAGTGTGGAGTGAAAAAGGCGAATGATGCATAAATAAGCTTACATGGCCAAACAAAAATGGAGAATGGATAACATATAAGAGGAATGAGATTCTTTTTGGAGCTAATGTATGTTTAATTATAGCCGATGGAAGAAAAATCGTATTGTGGAACGACAACTGAAGAGGTCAGTTACTTTTGCTTTGTAGCACCATGTCGTCTATTTGATATTGTTATTTAATAAAATTATTTTTTCCTGAATAAAGTAACCTTCTTATAATACACTGTTTAATGAATTTCTTATACTGTTTCTTCAAATCTTAATTTATATGTTGTCTAATTATGTTCACCGCAACCTATTAGTAAGAATATTTCTCTTTACAACTTTTAATTACCATTAATATATTCAATTTTGTGGAAAAAGAGTTAACAAAAACACTCTTAAATCTTTTGTTCCAAATATATGGCCTTTTAATGGTATCTATAGCTAGCCATCTCTTGAAATTTCAATACATGAGACAACAATTTGTAATTATGTCATGTTGTTGTTGCTATGCTTACTGATAGAAATGTCTTAGGTGCAGGGTACACTGGAATTTGGTAGTGGTGTTGATCAATCATTAATAATGTGTAGGGAGAATGATCAAAGAAATCTCACCTTCATATTAGTACTATCAGCAAACAAACATTCTCCTGTGCTTTCAGATACCAACAATTAATTCATCTGGGACGATTATAAAAGTATGGCCACCGCTATCAATAGATTTTCCAAGATTTATCATCTTTGAACTTAACTTTGAATTGAAATGAAAAGGTTGTCTGAAAAGAAGCCTGTGTAATGATTTAAGAAATATATTGTAACATTCCAGAAAATATACTCGTCTAGTGAAGAGCCTATTAAGTTTTAAGAATAGGTATTGGGGGTACATAGTCATCCCAATGTCCAATATTTAGAAATATTGGGCATATTAGAAAATATTGGCTTAAAGGTTATTAGCATATTTTCTATGTATTAACAAGCTTTTCCAAGAAATGTCCCTTCAATGAAGACAATAAGCTAAAAACATATATTTTCTAGCATTTGCACATTAGGTACGAGGCATCTGTGTGTCAAGCCTAGGCACCATAGCACATTACCAATTAAAATGATCATGTAGATTAAGCAGTGCCCAAGGACATAGTGAGGATCCTTGAGACAATAATTAAACTATCCAAATAAACCATCAAGAATAGTTAGTTAGGAAAGTACAAGCAACACTTGTGCAAGCACATGTGAAACCAGCCAATGAGGGGGGACCACACGACCACCATAACTGAATTCAGTTAGGGTTGTTAGGGGCAGGTGTGTACAAGGGTCCACCCACGTGGGGCCTAACTCTCTTACCAACTCTAGACTCTAAATAATTTACCTAACTAGCTACTAACGTAGGACAAACAAAAATAAATTATCTAGTGCACCCGACAACCTAAGACTTAATTGGGTGACACTAACCTAGTAACTAGTTCAAGGAACATCCTAGTACCTAACCTAGTATGGTCCAAAAGGGTTAGTTATGGTCCCAATGACTTAGGGGGTACTTTAGTAATTATCCTAGGTCCCTTAATTAATTAAATTAATGAATTAATTAATTAAGTAAAATTCACAAGCAAGGCCAAAACTCTTAGGAAAAAAATTTCATATTTGACTAAGTTAAACGATTTCCTATTTTTAGTCAATCTAGGAGGGGAATTTTAGTAATTAACTAATTTATTTATTTAATTAACTTAATTAGCCTAAGTTAAACTAGTCAGGATCAGTTCCTAAGACATAGACGCACGTTCAAACACTAGAAAATTCACGACTCAAAACAGTGAGCAAACGAAAGAAAAATAGAAAAGTTTCTCTCGATTCTCTTAGGCGATTTCAAGGTATTCTTCAAGGTTTTCATGCAAGGTGATTTTCGTAGATTCATTATACATAAGGTATGGGTTTTCTCTCCTGGATTTCTTTCTCCAAGAGTCCTTTCAAACATTTTGAATTCATGAATGTCGAAACTAGGGTTGTTCCCAATGATATTGTTGAACATTCATCTCCCTAGATATCCTTGTTTTCGATTCTAATAGTATGTAGATGTAATCTCGAATGTGTTGTTGGTATATGGTGCTAATTGATCATTATATGTAGGGTTCTTGACCTGTTAATGTCTAATGAGACCTATAGATTTGATTCGTATGATTAGGGTATTAGTTACATGAGTTAAAGAATGTTGTAATGCCTAATTGTGTTCGAGAAGATGAATTGCTATGAATCATTCATGAAGTTTGGTTCACTGTTAAATGTCGACCTGTTTAGAATGATGAAAGTATATTCATGAAGTTGATTGAATTGGCTAATGATATTCTCATGACCATTGTCTAGTGAAAAATTTGCTTATGCCAATAAATTGGCTAACAATATTCTAGATTACCATAATATGTGAAAGTTTAGTCTATGCCAATAAATTGGCTTACAAATGTATTTACAAAATATAATACAAAATTGGCTAATGACTAAGTTATACCAAATTAAGCATGACCAATGTAACTTTGAATTCATAACCAAGGGTATGCCAATCATTGGGACAAGTCCCAACATACCCTTTTCCAAATGAACTATGAAAATAAGTAAGTACATTGAACAAAGTTTATAACGTTCATAAAGAGTGGTATTAAGCTACCAAATAACATTGAGCAATATAAGGTGAGTAGTAACATAATCAAAAGCTTAAGATTTATGAAAGTAACCAGAATGAGGTGTTAAAAGAAGTGAGACAAGTCTCACTCACTCCTACACAATTATGTTAAAGATACTCACATAAGAGGGTGTTAATAATCGTGAGACAAGTCTCTTTAACACCAAGATGATAATGTAATGCTAAATTCACATTTCATCAAGTAAAGAAAAGGATGACCGGTTATCCAAAGAGTTAAGTAAACCTCATAAGCAAGATTCCATAATATTTGAGTCAACTCTAACAGTTGTAAAGAAAAAGAAGTTGAACAAAGCACCGATAGACTAGCAATGAGCTTGTTCCAGCACATGTAAGCCTCATGAGATGAGGCTACCACCAAGGTTGATAAGTAGTCTCTGTATATCTCCTAGTCTTTGAACTATGTTGCCAGCATAGGAACTAACCAGTGGAATTCCACCTAAGAGAGCTAGGTATGATGTGGTTTCACTTTGGCCAAAGAAACCACCCCTTTTCGGTGTGGGGAAGACACTAGATTTCATGTTAAGCTTACATGATCTATGTTGGTTAAATTCTCAAAGAAAGTATTCAGTTCACTTTAGCCGTGAACCGCTTCTTTTCGGTGTGGGGATAACACTAACTTGGTTTCACTTTACCCGATGAACCACCCCTTTTCGGTGGGGGCAAACACTGAATTTCATATTATCTCACATGATCTAGGTTCACTTTGACCAGTGAATCACCCCTTTTCGGTGTGGGGCAGACTCTGGATTTCATGTTAGCTCGCATGATATTAATACTAAATATTTCTTTAAGAAAGTAAGAAATAAAGAAGAAGAAATGTAATTTCAATGTGAGCTAAGAAATTAAGAGCTTAAGTATGTCAAATCATCTGTGGTTTATAAGAATGAAGTTTTAACAAGTTATTGGCTTGTGCCAAATCAAGAAATATGCTCCAATATCTTCACGTTATGCAAATGATCAAATAATGGGCATAGCCAAATAAAAATTGGCTTATAATGACTCGTTAGTAAAACATGATAGCAAATAAATGTCCCACAGTATCCATAATATTAAAATTATGAAATAAGTGATCTAGCCAATAAAGATTGGCTTATAAAGATTTCATGCTCAATCTAATAAAAATGGAACGAATAAATTGTAGTAAGGGTAGCCAAAATATTTTCTTAGTCTTTTGGATTACTTACTTAATTCATTGTAGGTATGGGACTACAATGAATCATTCACTTGTAAGTAAAACATAATATTAAAGAGATCTTTGAACTACACAACAATAAGAAGAAAAAGACTGAAAAATAAACCAAGTGTTGGGGAAGGAGCTCTCAAGTTTGGAGGATCAAATTTCAAAATTTTCATTCGAGTTGTTCTAAAATTATGTTCATGATTCTAAGGTCTTATTTTCATATATAAAATGATTTGTGTTATTTGAATGCATTAAATATGTCATATTCTTACCATAATTCACAAATAACGAATTAAGAAAGTCTAGTGACTTTACTTTCCAGAAATGTCATGTTGTTATAGAAAGAGTTTTCCTTGATCATGCATAGTCCTTATGTGTTTATGTGCATATATCCATACTTAGTACAAGTGTTTACTAACCCTATACTATTACTATTTTATAAGCGCAGGTCAGAGAGCAGATTGAAGACTCATTGAAGCGGTTTGGATCAGGGATCTCTAGCCTTTTGTAGGTCTTCTTGAGTTCGAGGATTTTACACCTATAATTCTAGTTTAGTACTTTAGACATAGCTAATGGATGTTGTCCCTATCGTTTCATTTCAGACTTTTATTCAAAGCTTTGTGTTAAGGCCGTTTGGCAAACTATTAACATTTATTGATTTCTTCACTGAATTGCTTAATCGATGTAGATTGTTGTTTAGTTTGATCTTTTTAGAATATCACTCTATATAGTAATTATATGAAGTCGATGATGAGATGAGGCTACCACCAAGGTTGATAAGTAGTCTCTGTATATCTCCTAGTCTTTGAACTATGTTGCCAGCATAGGAACTTACCAGTGGAATTCCACCTAAGACAGCTAGGTATGATGCGGTTTCACTTTGGCCAAAGAAACCACCCCTTTTCGGTGTAGGGAAGACACTAGATTTCATGTTTATCTCACATGATCTATGTTGGTTAAATTCTCAAAGAAAGTATTCAATTCACTTTAGCCGTGAACCGCCTCTTTTCGGTGTGGGGATAACACTAACTTGGTTTCACTTTACCCGATGAACCACCCCTTTTCGGTGGGGGCAGACACTGAATTTCATGTTATCTCATATTATCTAGGTTCACTTTGACCAGTGAATCACCCCTTTTCGGTGTGGGGCAGACTCTGGATTTCATGTTAGCTCGCATGATCTTAATACTAAATATTTCTTTAAGAAAGTAAGAAATAAAGAAGAAGAAATGTAATTTCAAAGTGAGCTAAGAAATTAAGAGCTTAAGTATTTCAAATCATCTGTGGTTTATAAGAATGAAGTTTTAACAAGTTATTGGCTTGTGCCAAATCAAGAAATATGCTCCAATATCTTCACGTTATGCAAATGATCAAATAATGGGCATAGCCAAATAAAAATTGGCTTATAATGACTCGTTATATTATGACAATAAAAGGAGAGTAAAACATGATGGCAAATAAATGTCCCACAGTATCCATAATATAAAAATGATGAAATAAGTGGTCTAGCCAATAAAGATTGGCTTATAAAGATATCATGCTCAATCTAATAAGAATGGAACGAGTAAATTGTAGTAAGGGTAGCCAAAATATTTTCTTAGTCTTTTGGATTACTTACTTAATTCATTGTAGGTATGGGACTACAATGAATCATTCACTTGTAAGTAAAGCATAATATTAAAGAGATCTTTGAACTACACAACAACAAGAAGAAAAAGACTGAAAAATAAACCGTGTTTTGGAAGGAGCTCTCAGGTTTGGAGGATCAAATTTCAAAATTTTCGTTCGAGTTTTTCTAAAATTATGTTCATGATTCTAAGGTCTTATGTTCTTATATAAAATGAGTTGTGTTATTTGAATGCATTAAATATGTCATATTCTTACCATAATTCACAAATAACGAATTAAGAAAGTCTAGTGACTTTACTTTCCAGAAATGTCATGTTGTTATAGAAAGAGCTATCCTTGATCATGCATAGTCCTTATGTGTTTATGTGCATATATCCATACTTAGTACAAGTGTTTACTAACCCTATACTATTACTATTTTATAAGCGCAGGTCAGAGAGCAGATTGAAGACTCATTGAAGCGGTTTGGATCAGCGATCTCCAGCCTTTGGTAGGTCTTCTTGAGTTCGAGGATTTTACACCTATAATTCTAGTTTGGTACTTTAGACATAGCTAATGGATGGTGTCCCTAGCGTTTCATTTCAGACTTTTATTCAAAGCTTTGTGTTAAGGCCGTTTGGCAAACTATTAACATTTATTAATTTCTTCACTGAATTGCTTAATCGATGTAGATTGTTGTTTAGTTCGATCTTTTTAGAATATCACTCTATATAGTAATTATATGAAGTCGATGATGATATGATGCTACCACCAAGGTTGATAAGTAGTCTTTGTATATCTCCTGGTCTTTGAACTATGTTGCTAGCATAGGAACTTACCAGTGGAATTCCACCTAAAAGAGCTAGGTATGATGCGGTTTCACTTTGGCCAAAGAAACCACCCCTTTTCGGTGTAGGGAAGACACTAGATTTCATGTTTATCTCACATGATCTATGTTGGTTAAATTCTCAAAGAAAGTATTCAATTCACTTTAGCCGTGAACCGCCTCTTTTCGGTGTGGGGATAACACTAACTTGGTTTCACTTTACCCGATGAACCACCCCTTTTCGGTGGGGGCAGACACTGAATTTCATGTTATCTCATATTATCTAGGTTCACTTTGACCAGTGAATCACCCCTTTTCAGTGTGGGGCAGACTCTGGATTTCATGTTAGCTCGCATGATCTGAATACTAAATATTTCTTTAAGAAAGTAAGAAATAAAGAAGAAGAAATGTAATTTCAAAGTGAGCTAAGAAATTAAGAGCTTAAGTATGTCAAATCATCTGTGGTTTATAAGAATGAAGTTTTAACAAGTTATTGGCTTGTGCCAAATCAAGAAATATGCTCCAATATCTTCACGTTATGCAAATGATCAAATAATGGGCATAGCCAAATAAAAATTGGCTTATAATGACTCGTTATATTATGAAAATAAAAGGAGAGTAAAACATGATGGCAAATAAATATCCCACAGTATCCATAATATAAAAATGATGAAATAAGTGGTCTAGCCAATAAAGATTGGCTTATAAAGATTTCATGCTCAATCTAATAAGAATGGAACGAGTAAATTGTAGTAAGGGTAGCCAAAATATTTTCTTAGTCTTTTGGATTACTTACTTAATTCATTGTAGGTATGGGACCAAAATGAATCATTCACTTGTAGGTAAAGCATAATATTAAAGAGATCTTTGAACTACACAACAACAAGAAGAAAAAGACTGAAAAATAAACCAAGTGTTTGGGAAGGAACTCTCAGGTTTGGAGGATCAAATTTCAAAATTTTCGTTTGAGTTTTTCTAAAATTATGTTCATGATTCTAAGGTCTTATGTTCTTATATAAAATGAGTTGTGTTATTTGAATGCATTAAATATGTCATATTCTTACCATAATTCACAAATAACGAATTAAGAAAGTCTAGTGACTTTACTTTCCAGAAATGTCATGTTGTTATAGAAAGAGCTATCCTTGATCATGCATAGTCCTTATGTGTTTATGTGCATATATCCATACTTAGTACAAGTGTTTACTAACCCTATACTATTACTATTTTATAAGCGCAGGTCAGAGAGCAGATTGAAGACTCATTGAAGCGGTTTGGATCAGCGTTCTCCAGACTTTGGTAGGTCTTCTTGAGTTCGAGGATTTTACACCTTTAATTCTAGTTTAGTACTTTAGACATAGATAATGGATGTTGTCCCTAGCGTTTCATTTCAGACTTTTATTCAAAGCTTTGTGTTAAGGCTGTTTGGCAAACTATTAACATTTATTGATTTCTTCACTGAATTGCTTAATCGATTGTAGATTGTTGTTTAGTTTGATCTTATTAGAATATCACTCTATATAGTAATTATATGAAGTCGATGTATAATTCATTATGTTTTAAAAGTTTTAAATTTTTCGCAAATTTAACTATATGATTGTGATGAAAGCTAAGAAGAGGCTTGTCTGCGACCTCTGAGAGGCTAACGAAGCCGGTTGCATTTGGATTCCAAAACAAACTTGGTATTAGAGCATGAAGTTAAATTATCTAGGAATTAAAGCTCAAAATAACCACGTTACGTACTTTTTAACTTATGGTTGTGAAGCGCACCACAATCATGACTTAGAGACTAAGTTATGATAAGAAACCTCCCTCCTTCTACTCTTTGTCGTGCTGTGTAGAGCTTTGACATTTTGTGTCATTCTAGTGTCGGACTTCCTTCTTTTTTATCGTGTAGAATGTTAACACAAGGAGAAATGCAGGAAGAAGAGTCGAAGAAGCAGCTACTGGAGGCAACAAGCTCCTCCTCAAGCCCTAGCTGCTGGAGTGCAAGTGTCTGTCAATCCAGCTGCGTAGACGAATGGAGAAGTAAAGGAAACACTAGTTCAGATGGCCCAAGCCATCACTACTCAGGCACATGCTATCACAGCCAAGGACACTAGAGAGGGTGCTCCTTGGGAGAACCCACATGCTAGTACCATGGCTAGCAGACAGAGGAATTTCACCAGAATGAATCCTCCAATCTACTTTGGGTCCAAAACCAATGAGGATCCCCAAGAGTTCGTGGATGAAGTCTATAAAATTCTCTCTACCATGGGTGTGAATGAAAAGGAAAAGGTTGAGTTGGCTGCATATCAACTCAAACATGTGGCTCGGGTGTGGTAAAAAATGTGGGCATGTGGCCGAGCACCAAAAGCGGTCCCCATCACTTGGGCCACTCTCAAGACTGCATTCCTGGAGAGGTTCTTTCCCAAAGAGCAGAGAGAGGCTAAGGTTGAGGAGTTCATGAACCTACGATAGGAAGTTATGTCAGTCAAGGAGTATTCCTTGAAATTTGTTAAGCTCTCGAATATGCTTCTTCTATGGTATCCAATAGCATGGATGAGATGAGTGTGACTAGTGTATTGGAGGATCTGGAAGAGGAATATCGGGCAGCCATGTTGCATGATAACATGGACCTTGGTAGGTTGGTGGTTCATGCACATCAAGTGGAGGAGAGTCGTCGAAAAAAGAGAGGCCGAGAAGGCAAGAAGCCTAAGACCTCCGATCAAGCTGCTTGTAGTTCTGGTAGGAGTTTGTTTGGAGTTCTGGACAAGTCCAAGTTCCAGAGGGGCACCAGCACTCAGGTAATTCTACTTCTTCCAGGAAATCGGATGCCAAAGTGGACAAGTCTGGCCCCAAAAAGGGCAATGATAGAAATGCCCGGCATAGCAACAAGTCGTGTTGGTAAATGTGGTCGTTTGCATGGAGGTGAGTGTCTGGTAGGTACTAATATTTGTTATGGGTGCGGCTAGAGTTGGCATATGGTTAGGGACTGCCCACAGATGAGGAATCAGGCCAGGACAGATGCTCAGCCTTGACCTAATCCTACTGCTGCAGTCGAACCTCCCAAGAGGAACAGATTCTATGCTTTGTAAGGTAGAGAGGACTAAGAGAAGTCAGCTAATGTAGTTACTGATACGTTGCATGTCTTCTCTTTTCCTGTGTATGCATTGTTAGATCCAGGATCCACTTTGTCATTTGTTACTCCTTTAGCAGTTAGTAAGTTTGACTTT